GTTTGTTTGGAATAAATGTCAAATGATATTTACAATTATGTTTTTATTGCCAAGATAGGTTTTGAAGAGTAATCCTGAAACCAGTGTTATGAGATAGTTGAACAAACAGAAAAAATTCTCTACACTGAATATAATAAACAAATGGTAAAAAAAATTATTTTTTTTTATTGATCGTATCTGTATTAAAAAAAAAACTTCTGTTTTTTTTGTTTCAAACTATATCTCAAGATGGTAGTGTAGTTTAATATTTTTATTTCATCAATAATAGCAAGCTGTAAATTTTGTAATTTTAATTAAAGAATAAAAATAAATTTTATTAATAAACCAAAAATTTATTATGATTAATTTTTATTTATTAAAAGAAAATAAGAAATTAATACATATTTCATTTTTTATAAATGTGATAAAAAATTATAATTTTAATCATTAATTAAAAAAGGAATAATTTTAATTAAAAATTTTATTATTAAAGGAATTTTTAGTGTTTTAATCTTCCTCAATTTCAATAATTTCTTCAAGACCTGACATATTACGAGAAAGGTTTGGTATTTTTTCTCCTTCTTCTTCAGGTTCTGCAAATTTTGAAAGGGCAATATTTTTTATACCACCTTTACTACTTTTTGTATTTTTTTTTTCTTATTACTTTTTTCAAATGTATAAGAAGAAGAATAAAAATTATGAAATTTGTCACCTGGTAATTGTGACACAGATGAGTGAGTTGTTGTAGGTAAAGAAGGTATTGTAGAAGAAAGTGAAGGAGGTGAAAGTGATGGAGGTGAGAGTGGTGGAGGTGATAATATAATAGGTAAAGTGGTTGAAGGAAGTAATGAATATGCAGTGTTTGAAATTATTGAAGTACTGATACTTGGAGTTGAAGTTAAGGTGGTAGATGACAATTTAAGTTTTTTGGAGTTGATATATTCATCAAAATCATTGTTGGGTATGGTTCTGGAAGATGGTTTATTTTGAATTGCAGGAATTGTTGTACGTGTTACAACATAATCTATTGAGGTACTTTCAATTAAAAAAATAACTTGTTCTTCAATTTTTAAAATCTGTCTTAAAAATCCATTAATTGTATAAGAGGCTCCTAGACACCAGACCAAAGACTTGAAATGAATATTATTCAATTTATATGTGATTGTAAAGAAATATTCCTTTGGTTTATTTTCACTAAATAGAAAACAAGAAGTTTTAACAAAATGAGTTTTTCCACGAAGAAGAACATGGGAATTTTTTTGTTCATTTGGAAGTACTTGACAAATAAAAGAAATAAATAGTGGTGAACTTGGCATCTTTTCAATACTCCAGTTGCCTGTGTTGGATTTGGGAAACCTTATAGCTTTGTCTATAATAAGCTATAAAAAAAAGTTATACCTTATTAATTTAAGACAGTTTTAAGTTTTATAACAAATAAAAAATAAATACCATTATTCCTGCAGCATGATAAACTGAACTGTTCTCCCATGTAAATTTGCCAAACAGATGAACAAGATCTCCATCAAAAAATTCATCAACAAATAGTGTACCTGAATTAAGAAAATTTTAAAATTAAAATCCACCGATATATTTAGTCCATCTTTAAGGATACTTGCACCCCATAATAAAGTTCCTCCAGAATTTTTTTTTGCAAGAACTAATATATGCAGTTACATTGATAGTAGCAACAATTTTTTTTATCAAAAATAAAAATAAAAATGTAAAGAAAAAAACAATATATTTATTAGTTGCCATTTTTATAATATTTTTTTTTTACATTAAAAAAAAAACAGTTATGAAAATTTTAATTACTCCAAAAATATTTATTTTTTTAAAGTTGTGAAAATTTTAATTACCCCTCAATATTTATTTTTTCTCAAAGTTGCTATTTTCACCTGAAAACCTTTTATTAACAAAATTAACACCTGAAAAAAATATCTTCAAACA